AGAGTGGTATTTATCAAGTTTTGGAATAAACTGTGGGAAAAGATAAGATAAGGGGAATAAGAGATATGGCTAATCAGACTACAAGGCAAAATCAAAGACAATAAGTATATAAGATCGGAAATATTTTTTTTGTAATTCAAATAAACCTGTGTCAAAGTTATGACTAACATAAAAATCCAGCAATGATAAATTATATTCTTACATAAATAACATCTCTTTTATTCAAAACTATGCGGAAGTATGTTAACTGAATTCAATGATGGCTTTTAAAAGTTGCGCGATGGAAGCATTTATTATTTGTACAATATACTTCCTGATATTTACCAATCACCGTCAGTGGGAGGAATCTAAAAGAACCTGTCTCATTCACTTGTCTAGGAGATACTGTTTCAAACACGGTCGGCAAGGATGAGGATGTCAAAGTCAACCGAAGGTGAATGGGGAGGGCAAGATAAGCCTTGATTACTCTTAAATCGGTGTTAACATCCACACCATTTTGTTCAATGAACAAAATCCAAATTCTCCACGCTAAAATTAATCAGGGTTCCTGTATGGTTCAAAGATTGTGCACTACCAAAACTATTTTCAACAGGTGGATGCAGACTTTCGTCCAAAGCTGTCTTCCTTTGCTGCTGAATATCTTATGACAAGAGAGAATTAACAACAGGCAGACCTGGCAGGCTCAGAACCAGCTAACGACCTACTGCTGCCCAACAAATATGCAAACAGAAATGGAAGTTGACTGGAAATATACTGAGGAGGCATTCGAGTGACATCACACGCCAGGCAGATATGGGGCAGAAGCTAAAAAGAATGCGAAGAGTTGGGCTTGAGTTCGAGTGTGACATGGAATAGATCATGTGAAGTGAAAATAAAAGTTTGTAGGCAGTAGTAAAGCAAGCCAAAATTGTGACATCAAAGAAGCGAGTCATATGATGACATGTGGATGAAATTGTGTGTTCCTTTTGGAACGCGAAAAAGGAAAAGGCAATAATAATGACCAGTTATAGTATAGGTTATACGAAATATCTTAAATGCTTATTGGCAAGAATACGTTTATTTTAGGTTCAAAAGTTTGTGATAGTGGTAGTTATGAAATAAGGCAAGGATAACTGGATTAACTCCATAGGATGAGTTTATTTTAGTTCAGTGGAAACTAGGAAAACTGGACAGTGATCTCCCTATATTTTAGAGCATTGCAATCGTTCATAAATACGATACTAAGAAGGCTAAAATTGGAGTTACTTTGTGAGCATATTGCTTTACATTCACTTTGTGTGATATATATATATTTTCCTTCACGTTCCCAGTAAAACATAGGGCTTCAAGCTAGAGGCTTGAAGTTTCTGTATCAGTGTTTAATTTTTACAGGATGGGGTTGCTAGCATCATGCCTAACCTTTCCTCTTTACCAGCATTATTTCTGGCTTAGCAAGGTAAAGGAGTGCGTCGACCGGGGGTCGAACCCCGGACTATGTGCCTGGTTGGCGAGCGTCCTAACCACTATGCCACCGACGCACTATGCTTCACATTCACTGAACTAGAATCTATATCCTCTTAAAAATCCCCTTTCTTGATGTGAAACTAACAAGGAGAACTGATGGGACCTTAAGAAGATTGATCCATAGAAAAGCTACTTGGGATGGTCGACTAATAAGCTTCTTTAGCTGGGTACCCATTCGACGAAAGCGCAATTCAATTTAATTCCTTGCCACTCACATCCGACGCATCTGTAGTCTCCATGTTTTAGAAACAGAATTAGATCTTTTGAAAGAAGTCTTCATCCAAAATAGATGCCCACCAAGACTCATTGACAAAAATATCAAACCAAGAATTTGTAGGAATGAAATCTCACTTGCCCTGAAAAAGAAGCCCTACATGAGCGTGGATTTCAAAGGAGATTTGGTAAGCGATACTTTTTAAGAGAAGGATTACATCATTTCTGAGAAGAACATTCTTTGCATCAAACGCTAAGAATAGTGTTCTCGAGTCGCTCACTGATCTGCAGAAGCCTTAAGGACAAGATCCCGCATTTGACTACTTCTATGTGCGAATATCAGTTCACCTGCTACTGTGGAGCCAAGTACGTCAGTCTTTCGAGGCGCATCCTATCCAAGAGGATTCAAGAACACTATCCAGCATGGTTGTGAAAGGGTAATAATGGTGCTATAGGTAGTGTGATAATTGAAAACCTGGTTAACACTAATCATTCCATCTCAACAAACGACTCCTTCAAAGTAATCTACAGAGTCAGCAATAACCTACCAAAGGCAATACAGTTTCGTCTACTTTGTATCTCTGAAGCTGTGCATACAAAAGAGAATTTCTCAACCACGTCTATTATCATGGTATTAACTTTATTGGTTTTCGATGACTTGATTTTGTTTGTTTGCCTGTTTCTTTAGTTGCTTATAATTTTTGTATTCATCTAGAACTCTTAAGTAATTCCGTATTCTGTACTTTATTCCTGTGTATATCCTGAGTACAACTCAACCATCAAACTATTCATATTATTACGTAACTCCCTTTTAACAACTGTTTGTGACAACTCATCACCTCTATTACTATCCTAGTTTCATTAAAAACTTTTTTTTCACCGTTTTTGCATTACGTAACTCTACCGGAAATAACCATAAACAAGTGTTTTTTTGTTTGACAAACTTAATGTACACGCACATACAAAATAACTCATATATATTTGCGATTGTACAGCTAAGAAAATGAATTAGCAGGAAAGAGACTCACCGCTGAACTACGTGTTTTGTTTCCATTAATGCCTGAGTGAAGGTTATTCATGAATTAAGATGTAATTCTCATCAACTCATGACACAATAGTATTGTAATAGGAGCATATATTTCAGTGCCTGTTGTCATCAGGAATCTGGTAAATCATCTGCATACCAGCTTAGTTATTTGCAGAGGAGTGAATCTAGAATGCCATACTTTTAGAGATTTAATTGGCTCTTCTTACCAGCTGATATTAGAAAAGGTGTAGGAAATAACGAGCAATCAAATTATTTCAACCATAAAGCTATAATCAGATCAGTATCTATAATCAATGTTGCCCTGATAAAGCCAGAATCTGAGAATTGAATTTCCTTCAGATTCCAGTCTGTGTCGGTCGAATTTTAAATTACAGCCTTCATTATTAGGCAACTCGATTAGTGATGATTCTCGTGTCAGACTCAATTATGCATGGAGATTCGGTGCAAAATAGTAACTATTTTACCTGTTCTGCGGTGAATTTCGATGGTTATTATACCACAGTTCTTTTAGATAAGTAAAACTAGTAAAATCAATTTTTTCTACATACCCAAATGTTTGCCATTATTTGAATTCTTAAAAAAATTCATCTGGCGATAGGACTGGAGTGTATTAAAGTTCTTATTCATAAGACTGCACTGATTACATCAGAACAATTGCCATTTATGGTTTAAATCGATTTCGGTAACTGATAAGAAACTGTAAATGATGATTTCAGAGTCGCTTTGACTTCTCAGTAATACGAGATGAAGGATACAAAAGTCTGAGTCGTTTGTCCTTCCTAGCTAATAACTACTTTGAGGTGTAACTGGAAAAACTTGGTGTATAATACTGAATAATCTAAATCCCTACAAAATTCCCCTAATCTGAATGTCAGTCTCGAGTTTATTGGCGACTACTGGATGAGAAGAGTAGTGGCCACTGTGGCTTACCATATCGAGGTAAAATGAATACTCTTCAAAGGCATCGTTTGGTAGCAGTTCCATGTCACAAAACAGCAAAAGTTAGAATTCATTGGTAGGTGAACATCAGTCCAAATGGCTGAATGATCAGCGGGCTTGGCCTCATAACCTGAAGTTCCTGGGTAGAATCCTTAGGAGAGGTGGAGTAGTCCTGATCGATGCAGAGCTGGAGAGTCTCAAACTAAGACGAAGCTTTCAGTGATCACTAGCTGATGCCGGTTCATAACGAGAAGATATACGTTAAAATTAAATAATTGTTTTACTATATTTGGATTTAACAGAAGACGAAAACATTGTTCCATCCCTAAAAGGCGGTACACCACAGTTTTGTGTTCTAGGCTTAATAAGTCACGTTTTCATCCATAAGCCCATGTGAATAATCTTAAACTCGGACATGTGAATCGGCTTCAAGCAAATATTTATTTATTTTATATTTACTCATAAGTAAATGATTATTGTAAATGACTTCACGTGAATACTTCCGAAGAAGAAAGCTGGATCTTTAACACTAAATTGTAAATAAATAGATCGGTGTGTAAACATAATTAATTTTGTGAAATCTTTCATCATAGAGTAAGTGTAATTTGAACAACATTTATATTTTCCTCTTGTATATAAGATGATTTGCCTAGTTAATTTTCATTCCTTACATTCCAAAAATGGGACATGGGGCCTCAAGCTTTGAAGTTGTAAAGGCACTGGTATTGTTTTTGCGAGGTAATTTTGCCAAGCATATGCCCTCCCCTCCTCCCCACATGTTTTGAGTCAGTCGACTAGGCGAGGTCCAGGAGTGAATTTATCTGAAATCAAATTCAAATCTTCTACCTGGCTGACTAACGTTTTGTCACTGAACCACTGGCTCACTGATTTGGTTAAATTTTGTGAGTGCAAACAAATCAGACTGACTTAATTCCATCTTACAGGCAGTTTGAGTTGTTCCTTTTTTGTCCTTAGGATAATGCAAAATATGTTAAGTAAAAAATAAAATAAAAAACTCCAAAAGAATGCACCAATTAAAAGGTTTCTTAATATTTATCGATGATCAATTTCAAAAAAAATCTTGGATGAAGTACGTCTCAAAGAGATGTTGAGCAATTAACTTTTGTCAGCTTCTTACTATTCTTTACAATGAGTATGAACAAAGTAAATGTTGTTAGCCTTCTCTATCTGACTGATTTATGCAATAAACTTGATGATGTATTTCACTGCCATTATGAATCAGTGTTAACTTTAGTTTTATTTTTATTTTTTTCGTTTCATCTTTTGTCCAAAAAAGAAATAATACAGAGAATCCTAAGGATCTTACGAAAGATACGTGTCGAACAGTTAGATTCAGTGTTTGCAATATTAGCCAGGGTAAGTGTACATTATTTTATAGATTACAATCATATTTTTTTGTAAACAATCAGTTTTCATAAATATTTTTATTTTATTTTTAATTCTCTTTGTTTGTTTTACTTCTGAATGAAACTGTACTCCCTTCTTGTTCACATCAGAAATGCTAAAGTGAAATCTTTGCTGGTTTTTGACAGATCAGTTTACTGTGAAAGGAAAAAAGTGTCAAATAAAATCCAATGTGTTTTTGCTCAACGAATAACTATATATATATGTGTATATATATTCAGGTTTACTAACTGATTCTCATATTTTAGTTTGTAGGCATTTGATTGGTTTGAAGTTTGGTCAGTGGACAAATAGCCAGAAGTAGGAGTTTATGGGCCACTGGATTCTGTCCCATTAGCTAAATGGTAGACAGGATAACCTCGTAATCTGAAGGTCCTGCCCTCCATCCCTAATAAAGGCACGAATGTGTACTACTGAAGAGTCCCAATCTGGGGCGAAATGGTTGGGCAGTACTTCTTTGTTTTTCTCTAACTGATATCAATCCGTGATCTAACTTGAAACCAATCCGATCCCTACAGACTAACACTTATTAAATTTGATCATCACTTTTAATTTTAAAGTGTACAGTTTTGAAAGAACGATTGGATATCTTGTTGATATTACTCTGATTGATTTTGTGCAAGATGCATTACAATAAATTATCTGTGAATAGTATTTTCAATCCTATTTGAGGCATATTCGCTGTAATAAATTTTTAAATTGTTTATAGTGTGGCTAGAAGTCTTCTGCATTTTTATTCGTTTTAAGATTTCTTTGACATAAGTGGTGGTAACTGTTTTTGGTGTAAACATTCTAGGTGGTACTCACATTTACCATGTTACAGCAAAGTTTTTCTGAACCTCCTCTAGTAGGAGATCTTAAGGGAATTACATGATGTCAGTGCTTTGTGAAGTTTCCAGAATTTTACTGATTGTTAAGCCTTTTTTGAGCCGAATACTACCTAAAGTTCTGAGATAGAGTAGGAGATGAATTCACCCTTGTGATGCACTATTTTAGAGGACGATTTCAAAACCAGTTTCATAATTCAACGTTAAGGCAATTATTGTTTTGCACTGTGCAATATTTGTGTGACATTTCCAATTTTGGTGAACCTAGGTCTTCATGAAAGTAAACCATGCGATATGCAACAGAATAATACACCTGGAAATTCCTCAATGAAGAATCTGTTTAATAGTGCTGACACAGCGATATTTCAGCTAAAGTCATAATTACTAAAACGTTTTTCCTCTAAACTTTTTATGAGATTTCCATGGTTGTCATAACCGTTTTTGACTTAAACCTCATTATTTGCCTTTCTTTTCGGTTGATCTCCGATGTTTATGCTTCACTTTTCTTTTTAACAATGCTATTGATAATAATTCTTCAGTTTGAGTTTGTGATTTTGTTTGAGTGAGGTTAAGTTCGCTCTTGAAGTGACCGCTTGACTTTAAATTGTCTGTGAGGGACATGTTTGTTCTGCTTGATACTTGCAGAGACTGAGGGAGAGTTTTGATTCCATCTTGTTGGGAAAACTCCCATTGATTCCTAAGTTAATTTTAATTATGTTCGGTCAGTTAATTTTGTTGTACATTTCGTCATACTTTTGAAATGAATAGCTACCAGACATCTTTGTTGGGGTAGTTTTGTATTTTGTTATATCACTTATTATTCATAAATAATACCACAAATTCTCCTGGTACTACTGGCATACAATTTTTTGACTGTACGTGACTTGCAGTAGTTTGGCAATCTGTGCAGAAGAACGCATAGTTGGGTTCCATGCCATAAATCAAGCTGTAAATCAAAAAAAAAAAAAAAAAAAAAAAACACGGAAATACTAGGGGTTTATCGGTACCCTAAATATATATATATGTACATATATATACGTAAGGCTTATGGAAAGTATACAGGATACCATTCTCGAATAGTGACACTTATAAAGATGAATATAGTGACTCAGAGACATTTGTCATGAATAACATCGAGATCAGATGATATTTCCTCCTGAGTGTTTACATCCTGAGTTAGCTACAGTAATTATTATTATTTCTAGTCTTCTAAATAACCATCAAGCTGTGACAAAGTTACAAATAAAATTATTCTTATTTATCACGAATATACACGTTGGATTATAGGTATTATTAAAAAGACGATTGCATCGAAGAAAATTTTCTTTTTGACGAAGTCATCAGCTAGGCTATATATTCATGTATTTATATTGCATGTGTGAGAAAGTTCCAGAATTATCTCCGGTCAGAGGTCAGACTAGTAGGAATACTAAGTGTAGTAAACAGTAGATAGATAGTGGCACTATTCTAGAAATATTTCAGGCCAAAGGTCAAACTAAAATATTCTAATGCGTAATAATCAGGAAGATCAATTAGAAAAGGAAAAATAGGATCATAATTAATGGAAAACTCGTCAGCTTGTATAATTATGGGTTAAGGACGTATTATTAACGAAATAGGTAGGAGGTTCGGACATGTAAAGATAAAAACAGTAATGAAATCTAATAATGCAGATAGGGGTTTAAAAAGGTAAATGTAACAAATAAACGGGAGGGTTGGACAAGAAAGGTAATAGCATAATCATTATTGGTGAGACTGACTTTTCATGATGGTCATGGTAGGGACAACGGTTGAACGTATTTCTTTTGAAAACGTAGAATAAACTTTAGTTTTTGGATCGCCAGTGCCTCAGCTATTCCTAGATGTCTTGATTTTACTCCTTTTGGTAGATTGGTTCGGATCTTATATATGGCTTTGAAGGACTTTGCATATGGAGCTGAATGTCCAGAATTTACCAGATGTTCTGTTATCGAACTGCATGCTCCTTTGCGTTATCCCTTTGCTAGCCATTCTGGATGTTGTTCCTGCGCGTGTTTTATAAGCGGACGCATGGTACGGCCAATGTACGTAGCTCCACATGAGCAAGTGAACTTGTATATGCATGTTGAAGTGGCCCAATGCTACAGCTTGTCTTTCACGTGTTGGGTGAGTAGTTCATTGCAGGAGGATGTTATTCGTAGGCTGGCAGCGAAGTATGTTTTATTGAGAGACTTCGAGAGCCATCTGTGGAGAATTTTTGCTTCGGTATCACTTTTAAACTTGAGGTTCAATATCAGCATCTTTTTGGGGGTGTTTTCCTTGGTTTTAGATTCTTGTCTATGAATCTTAGTCTTACTTGTCACAAACACGTCTATTAAAAGTTAACGGTTTACACTCACTATAATAATTCTCATCAAATTTTCTTTGACTATTACTCCTTCTTCTATAAATAACTTTTTTATAATGATGCCATTTGTCCTTTGGACTATTACTCTTTCTCAATGAAACATAAGTAAAACAGATTTTTGAATACAAAAACTGTTTTCTTCAGCGCTTTTATTTTACATCTCGACATCATAGCAGGAACCATTTTGTCATGTATAGCTTTGACGTGGATTGTGACGCCATTCAATTTAAAATATGACAACAAGATACACTATTGTACTGTACTTACCTCTACCCTTCTTTAAATTTTCCATCTGAATAATTTTCATGCCGATTGCCTCCAACTATCCAGCATCAATTCACTAGGCTTAATACAAATGTAGTGACGTCATTCACCTTTGCCTATTTTCCCAATGTTCACCTTTCTTAATGAGAAAAAAATGTTTGCCAGATATAGTACTTTTTCTTAAAGACTATTTCCACTTAATGTATTGCATTCGTTTTTCATCTTTTATTGCTTTTTTTTTAAAATCTTTATTGTTTGCTAGCAAACAAGTTGCCTTGATTGTTAAATACTTTTTCTTTGTGATAAGTCTCGACTTCCAGTCTTAAATTTAGTTTAATGTCGGAGATCGTACTTATGTAAAATGACGGTATGTCTTACTTTTTGACAGCTCTTCTTAGCTGTTTGTATACAGGTTGTATTACAAGGAAGAAAAGAAAAGAGGAATACAATCGTGAGAAATAGAAATATTTCTGGAAAAGATGAAAATATGCACACACACACACACACTAGAAGAATAAAGGTATTACAATAATCGTGTTGATGGTAATTGTTAGGAGACAGCGCGTCTATCTGACCATATTTTTTTATTCCTTCACGTTCCCAGTGGAACATAGGGCTTCAAGCTAGAGGCTTGAAGTTTCTTCAGCAGTGTTTATTTTTACAGGATGGGGTTGCTAGTCTCATGCCCAACCTTTCCCCTTTACCAGCTTTATTTGTGGCTTAGCGAGGTAAAGGAGTGCGTCGGCCGGGGACTGAACCACGGACCATGTGCATGGTCGGAGAGCATCCTAACCGCTATGCCACCGACGCCCCATCTGATCATATGAATTTCAAGTAATACAGGTACACAGTCGGATAAAAGGTAACCCTAGGTATTGTAGAACCGTTGATGGTATGATTCCCAATAATACCCGGCTTTTAGAATAAATGATACAGTTCACAATGTCAATATGATTATATTGAACTGGATAATTCACTTTAACAAAGCAGTTTAACTGCATTGTAGATTATGCTGTGAGATACACGAAGATGTCAGTATTCCTCATAGTTTTATTGAAATGAACCGAAAGTTCTTAGGACTGTCTAATACAAAGGTTTTTATTTCCCGTGTCTGATTGACTTTCACTATTGGCATCTCTAATTTAGACATAACATTCTATAAGCTATAGAAAAAGTAAACCTATAAAGCGGCTATAATAAGGGAAGTGAGTGGTTGACGCACTAGACATGTCCATTTGTAATTTTTATGCAAAAGTAGTTTTAATTGGAACACTTGTTTTGTTTTAATTAGACTTCATTGTTACTTACCCAACTAGACTAATTTCAATTTTAAAACTAGGATTGAAAAAGACAGTCGTTAGATTCCATCATGAATCAAAATCAACTAGAGATAATAAAATGAAATACAGCAAATAACATTAATCCAAAGTCCCACGAATCCCACAATCTGATTAACAGTAAACATATTTCCTTAT